CCTCGCACGCAGCACAAGGTGGTTTCCTCGATGGCAAGCACACTTGACAGCTCAGTAGCAGTCCGGGTTATGAAACAGAAAGGTATTCGTGCAAAATTTCCATCTGATAGGCTGTTGGACTCTCAGTTAATTAATTCACAGAATTCCTTCCAAGTGTTATTAAATGATTAACGGTATGTTTTGGAATGCTCGGGGCATCTCCAAAGCTTCGACTGTTAGAAGGTTGAAAAATTAATTCAATTGCATAAAATTCATTTCCTTGCTATTTGCGAACCTCGAGTGGAGGTTGAAAGGGCCGAGAAATTTCGTGGTAAATTAAAGTTCCATAGTTTGTTGCATAACTTTGTAGGATCTGTCTGGTTTTTTTTTCATAAGGATTTTTCTGGTAGTATTGTTGGTGAAAGTGATAAGTGAATATTTAACGTACATTTTGTACAAATTTGGCATGAATTTTTGGTATGTTTTGAGAAAATTAAAGCCATATTTGGACTCTTTTGGTGATAATTGCTTAAATATTGTTTAAAGGTTCAAAACTTGATAAATGAGTGGATTAATGCGTTAATTTGGTGAAATTGTGAAGGTTATTGATGTATGAAATTCATGCACGAGCTGAAAGAAATGTAAGGGTTATCCAGAGGACAAAGTACACAAGAAATTGGGAGCAGAAATGTAGAAAATGGGAAGAAGTGAAAAACTGGAAAATTGCTCAACACGGATCCGAGCTCGGATCTGTGTGTACAAGAGGGATCCGAGCCCTCGTCTGTACTTCTGGCGGAGTGTATCCGAGGTCAGGACGATCCGACCTCGGATCCATCATGGGAAGTCCTCAGATCCACTGATCCGAGCTCGGATCAATTTTCAGTCCTCGGATCAGAGACTCGGATCTGTCTCTCTCCTCAGCAAGTGGCACAGCCGTTTTTCTTTACCTTTCTCACAACTTTTCCAGCTATTTTGATGGCCATAAATCGGTGGCACATGCTTCTGCAACAAAAGAGAAGACCAAATGAGTGTAGAAAAAAAAGAAATATCATATCTTTGACTTCTTTTTACAAAATCTGAGTGGAAGAAATTATGAAGGAAAAAGAATAGACTTTCTACCACCTTTTATGCAGAAACACAGAGGAGAAGCAAGAGAAGATAAATAGCTAGTTTTCCTTCTTGTAACAAGTTTTCTCTCTAGCTAAGAGTTCTTAGAGAAGCATTTGGAGTTTCACTTGTAACCATCTTGTACAAGAACATAGCAGGAATTGGAGAGCTTTACCTTCAATTGGCTAAGCTTTCTTTTACCTTTCTTATACTTGTACTTCATGATGTTTTGCATTAATAAACTTGTGAGTTTGATTGTTAAATCATTCATGAGTAGCTAATTTTCTTTATCTAGGGAGTAGATGAAACTTATGGCTAAATAATATGAATTGAAGGTGATGTACACTTGTTAGATCTTTTATTAACTTGTCTACTTGTGTAGCTGTGATTACTTGTTGTTGATTGATCACCAATAGCTTGTTATTAGTTGTTATTGTTCAATGAGGATTGGTAATAACAATGGAAACACAGGAGTAGAGCTTGAGTTGTATGTTCATGAAAATAGAGATACACTTAGATGGATTATTTTGCATTTCATGAAATAAAACAGAGTAGTAGTAGTATTTCACCATGAAAATAGGGAAATCTATATTGTTCTAGGCCATTTCATCATGAAAATGAGACTTGATAATTTTGGAAATGAATTTCTGGTTAAACAAGAATAATAGCAAGAAGTAAATCCATTAATTTGTGTTGTTTATTGCCATAAGTGGAATCTACATCCTTAGAATCTTCCTTAAGTGAAATTTCGCTATTTGCATTCACCATTTGTTAAACTAGATTTGTAGATCAGGTTTGTAGATTACAGCATTATATTTTCTCTGCTCAAATTAATTGTAAGTCTAAATAATAGAGAAAACAAGGGCTTAGTAATTGTTTAAATTGCTCCTCGTGGGATCGACCCGATACACATCTTGTACTACAATTGCGACCTGTATACTTGCAGTCCAACGGGTGTAAATTCGGAATTAAACTTGCATTGAAATTAAAAATCCCGTCAAGTTTTTGGCGCCGTTGCCGGGGAGCGGCAATATTAGAGCCTAATCATCTTTATTAATTTAGACAGTGTATTTTTATTAGTTGAGCTGATTATATTTAAGTCTACATTGTAATCAATTTTTGACAATTGAAGTTGCATAATATCTCTTATTTCTGTTTGTAGTGTATGCACCGGGTATCTCGGGAAATTACACCTTTCGATCCAGAAATTGAGAGGAAACTACGTAGACAAAGGAGGCATCCACCACAGCAAGAGGAACAAGAGATTTGGCAACCTATAGAGGAAATCTAAATAGATCTACCATTTGAGGAAGAGATGGCCGAAAATGAAGCAAACAGGCGAGTTCTACGAGATTTTGCTGTACCGGGAACACAAGGATCTCAAACGAGCATAGCAAGGCCTTCGGTAAATGCTAATAATTTTGAGATTAAACCATCACTTATCCAAATGGTTCAACAGTCTCAATTTGGAGGTAATGCAGTAGAAGATCCTAATACACACTTAGCTACATTCTTGGAAATTTGTGATACAATTAAAATGAATTGAGTTAGTGATGATGCTATAAGGCTAAGATTGTTCCCATTTTCATTGAGAGATAAGGCCAAACTTTGGCTACATTCTCATGCTCCTAATACTTTCACCGGATGGGATGATTTATCAAGAGCATTCTTGAATAAGTATTTTTCACCAGGTAAGACTGCTAAACTTAGAATGGATATCACTAGTTTTAGTCAATTGGAAGGTGAATCATTATATGAGGCATGGGAAAGGTTTAGAGATTTGCTTCGAAAATGTCCACATCATGGACTGCCGGTGATACGAAATATGGGCCGCTTATGGGCCATGTTTTGGGCTGCAAGAGATTGAATCTTTTAGTAATAGTTAGTAGTTTATTTTCTAGATTTCTATTTTATTTGCTAGGAATAAATTCGGTCCAAGACCTCATGTTGAGTTGGATCCGATTTATAGAGTCTAGGCTCACTATAACTTAAGTTGGTTAATTAGCTTTTATTGGGGTATGTTGGGCCAGCTTAAAGCTTTCATTGGATCGATTATAAGCTGACCATTAGATAGTGGATTTGAGTAGTGGAATCGGGCCAAAGGCCTAGCCTAGCCGAGTTAGGGTTTTCAAGTCACTTTAGGTTTTCAAGTTGTAAGGCTATATATAGCCTAGGTTTTCATTCATTAAGGATAATTCAGATTTTATAAAATATTCGTGAGTTTATTCACTCTCTCTTGCCTCAAGAGAATTTCCTTTGAATACTTGAGAATCAATCTCAAGCTGTTCATTGAACTTATCAATCAAGTAGTCTCCTTGATTGTGGCGTTCTTCTATCCATACTTTTGGTTCACTAAATTTGCTAGTCGTGGGTTAAGGAATCTCCTTAGTTCGTGGCTCGTGATTCTAGAAGGGTCAAAGTTCCGCCAATCATCCCAACTTGGTGTTCGTCTAGATCCGTCTCACATCATAATGGGGCTCAGGCACGGGTTGGTTCAAATAAGTAATTTAGGTTCATTATGTCAAAGGAAACACCATTGACCCCACTGCATGAATCTCAATTTCATCATTTATTCCATTGATCTTTCCAAATCCTAACCGTAACTTTCCCCAAAAATTAGCAAGTGCAAGCACAACTAAGGACTTCACCCATTTTTCTCAACAGAACACACATAGACAAAAAACACTCTTTTTTCTCTTTTTTTTCTTTCTTTTTTTTCGTTTGTTTTTTTTCTCTTTTTTGTTTGTTTGTTTTTTTTTGTTTTGTTTTTTTCTCTCTCTCTCTTTTTTTTTTGTTTCAAATACGCCCAACTACATGGGGATATAGACACACTTGCTAACTTCAATCATCTCCTTTCAACCCAATTCGAAATGACCATGCACTGAAATCAAGACATTCCTTTGACACGGGGTAGAAACAAAAAGGGTCGAACACAAGAGATTTAGGGGTGACAAAATGAGTTTTTAAATAAAGAAAAGGTCCAGGCTCAACCATGGTCAAATAGGGAAGATTTGATTTGGCTTGGTCTTTAAAAAGCTAAAAATGGTGAACCTAAGTGCCCTTATCATTTTAATGCATCAAACTCAGGGATGTGACCTTGACATGCACAACAAAGCAAGTTCTAGAACAATCAAATCATGTGTGATATCACTCAATGAAAGAAAATAGAGCAGTTATCAATGCAATGCTCATTGGCTCGACAGCTCACAAAATGGTTACTCATCGCCAAGTCTTGCAAAATTCATCATTCAATTCCATTATCAAGAAGACAAGACATTTAACCAAGTAATATCACTGCTTATGCTTGTAGAGTAATTGCAATCATCATCATAGCATCAAGTTCTAGACATTTTCAACTGTAGCCAAACGAACTCATCATGCATCTATTTTTTCGTTTTTTTGTTTTGTTTTTTTTTTCAATGTAAAGAGCTAGAACTACTCCCCCCATACCAGAAACCTACATTGTCCTCAATGGAGCAAAGAAAAATAAAAACCAAAAAGAAAGGAATTAGAGCTTCCCTAAAGGCCGAAAGAATGCAACGAAAGCACTATAGGGGAGGAGGATGAGACGGCTGAAAGCCAACATGGGCAAACAAGGCTGCCAGATTTTGTGTCTAAATGGAAGAGTGGACTTGCAAGGCTCTTTTTGTTCCTTTCTCACAATAATTGGAAGGCGTGGGCACGCTTTGGAACCCATAGTTTGCTGTTCATCAAACTCTAATCCCAGTAAAACGTCATAGAACACACCCAGGACCTATAATAAAGATTTTCTATCAATAGGAATCCAAAACAACCTGATCTTGAACATGAAAATATGAAATAAAAACACAAAAAATAACTAAAAATTGAAACTATTGGGTTGCCTCCCAAGGAGCGCCTTTCTTTAACGTTTTTGGCTAGACAATACCACGTGCTCAATCTGGATGTAACTCGAATTTCTTTGCAACTCTTGACATCTTGTGCGAATCAAAATTGCAATTGATTACAACCTTCAACGTATCTCTACCATTTAATTCAAACTTTTGCTGCATGAAAGGGTCAATTACATCTATAACAAAAGCAGAATGTGCCTCACTGAAACATTTAATGGCATCACAAGTATTGAATTTTATTATGTCACCATCAAATTCCATTGTCAAGGTTCCTGAATAAACATCAATTTTTGTTTTAGATGTCATTAAAAATGGCCTACCTAACAAAACTGGGGGTGAAACAGAAAAATCATCATCCATATCTAGTACATAGAAATCTACAAGAAAAACCAATTTATCAACTTGAACTGGAATATCCGCCAATATCCCATCAGGATATGCATTAGACATATTAGCAAGTTGCATAATAACACTCGTTTCTTTTAATGGTCCAAGATTCAGAGAATTATAAATGGAACGAGACATAATATTTATTGCAGCTCCTAAATCTATCAATACTTTTTCGACCTTAACATTCCCTATTTTGCAAGGAACAGTAAACATACCTGGATCCTTATGTTTACAAGACAATTTCTGTTGTAGGATCGCTGAAACATTTTCTCCTATATAAATCTTTTCAAAGTCCTTCAACTCAACTTTGCGAAAAATGTCAAAAACTTCTTGCTCTTGCTCCTTTTTCCTGGATTTTGCACATCGACTGGAAAATGGAGGAGGAGGTGTCACTACTACTGGGGGTGTATCTCTGGGCTCTTTTCTTGGAAGGGTTTGAGTTGGAGATTTCATTGTTTCTTCCTCAACTTGCTCTTTAAGATCATGTTTAGATACTGCATTTTGATATTCTTGCAATTCTTTGCCACTTCTCAAAGTAATTGCACTCACATTCTCCATTGCATTGGGAATCACTTGAGCTGGTAGCTTCCTTTTACTATTCTCAAAGTTGCTCAATGAAGACGCCAGTTGTGACATTTGCGCCTCCAAGGTCCTAATGCTTGCGCGTGTCTCTTGTTGAAATCTCTGCGAGTCCTGTTGAAATTTCTGTTGGTCCTGTCGCATTTGACAAGTGCTGTCAGCTAGTGACTTAACCATGTCTTCCAGGGACATACCTGAATCAGATGTGGATGGTTGTTGTACTAGTGGTCTCTGCTGGAATGGTTGTTGAAAACTCGAGAGTTTTGGAGCATAGCTGAAGTTGGGGTGGTTCCGCCACCCTAGATTGTATGTGGGTGCATCGGATTGTTTCTTCATTGGGGTGGTCCAGGCGAACCTCCCGCAGCACTGGCTTGCTCATGGGGGTCTTCTTGAAGGGTCCGGCACATATCGGTCATGTGTTCAGGAGCAGCACATATTCCGCATGCTTTAACTGCCTGTACTTGTCCTATAGCCATTTGACAAACCAAGGCAGTTAGCTCAGTTAATCTATTCGCAAGGTCAGAATGATTTACCTCATTGACCTTTCTAGTCATGCCCACAGATCTGACTCCAAACTGTTGAGAATTCTCAGCCATGTTCAAGATCAGTAGCTTGGCTTCATCTGTTGTCTTATTAACTAAGGCTCCTCCACTAGCTGTATCGACCATGCTCCTATCCATAGGTAGGAGTCCTTCGTAGAAATACTGGATTAACAGTTGGTCAGGAATTTGGTGGTGCGAGCAACTGGCACACAATTGTTTGAACCGCTCCCAGTATTCGTAAAGAGTCTCTCCATTTGCCTGCCTAACTCCATATATCTCCTTCTTGATGTTGATGGCCCTGGAGGCTGGGAAGAACTTCTCAAGAAATTGCCGTTTTAATGTTTCCCACGTAGTGATAGACCCCGATGACAAGTAAACAACCAGTCCTTAGCCTTATTTGCTAAGGAAAACAGAAAGGCACGTAACTTGATTTGTTCCTCAGCGACTCCCTGAGGTCTCATGGTTGAACACACTATATGGAATTCCTTCAAGTGCTTATGTGGTTCCTCACCTGTAACACCACGAAAAGTTGGTAATAAGTGAATCAGCCTAGATTTTAGTTCAAAAGCCTTCTCAGTGTCAGTGTATGTGATGCACAGAGGCTGTTGGTTAACGTTTGGAGTTGCAAGCTCCCTCAAGGTTCTTTGGGCTGCCATTATTTCGTTGGATCCAGGCAAATTTGTTTCCAGTTGGACTGATGAATCACCAACTCCGGAGGGTAAGGCTGCTGAAGTTTGTTGTTTTAGCAACTTAGTCTCCTTGGTTAGCCTCCTTGCTGTTTTCTCAATCTCTGGGTCAAACTCGAGCCTTCCTGTACGGGAAGATCGATGCATAAAACAAGGCTAAACTAGCCTGTGTAATAAATCATTTCAAGCATCAGTTCCCCGGCAGTGGCGCCAAAATTTGGTGGCTGTCAAACCACCAAAAATAAAATTTATATTAGTACCTACTCCCTAAACTGAATGAGTATAGTGGTGAGTAAGATCGTCTCCTCAGCGAACCGGTAGATTTATCATACACAGATGATTTGGGGGATTTTTGGAAGGAATATAAAAGAAACAAATTAAAAATGTAAAGTCACTAACTAAACAATTGCAAGAAGTGCAATAACTAAAGAATGTAATAAACACTTAATTGACACAACCTAGTCAAGGAGATAATCTAGGCACCAGTTCACGCAATTGATCATAGATATCTGAATTAATCCACACGTTCGCAAATAAATTGGTTAAACCAATTCAACAACTGTCGAACCACCAATCTCTCCTTAATTATATGGTAGTCCAAAGACGCTATTAAACTACCCTATTGTAAATTAGATAACCCTAATGATGCTCGAAGGATTTAATCTATTCACAGTTTTAGAAATTAGAGAGATCCAATTCTAGTTAACAAACACACATGCGGGTTCATTTAAACTAGATCAGCTATTCTCACGACCCAGATTAGACTGCTTGCGAGGCAATGAAATTGTGTCGTTCGTCACTAATTTAAAACAATCAAGTGATACGCACCGTTATCCTAATTGGCAGTATACTATTCAGACAATTGAATAATTGGCCACATTGATCCAATAAATTCAAACAATAATAGACTGTTAAAACAGAGAATAATTAAATACTCACAAACGCCGAATTTAGAATAATAAAAAAGATCTCACAATTGTTCGTGCTCCAGGCCTTGATTATTCCTCAACTAGATAAAGGAATTAGCCTTACCGCATAACGACGAAGCAATTTAGAGTTTTCATGAAATTTTGTTGATGAAAAGTAAAAGGGTATCGCAGTCATTCAGTAGTGACAGTAGTAGAAGTGTTCTGTAAAATTGGCTGAACATACTTTGAAATTGTTCTACTGATTTGTTACTTCATTCGTATTGTTGAATAGGGTGATAAATAAAGGAGAAGGTGATTGCATCGAACTTGATAGGTAGGAGAATAGATTATGAAATGACTAAATGAGGCATAATTGACCAGAAACTTTGGTATTGAGGCACACAAATTGTGAAAAGAAAGATTACTAGTACAGTAATTGTTGTGGTTGGACATCATCTTTGATAGTTGTTACACACAGTAAGTCAGAAGTTACAGTAATAGAATTGGTCTGTAAAATTACATCAAGATACTATAAATTTGGTTGCCCCCTATTTCTATTGCATTGGTATTGTACAATAGCATTATAAATAGAAAAAGAAGTTGATTCCAAGTACAACCTGATAGGTAGAACAACAGATTATGTAGATTAGTAGTAGTTGGAATAAATAACAAACTGTGAAAAATGACTTACTCAATGTTGAAAAAATTGTTATAAGTTGTACTATAGCTAGTGTGACTAATATTTGATACTCATATATTATGTTTAGCAGTACTTCATCATATATTATGGCTGTAGCTGGAAATGAAATTTTGGAACTGATGTGCAATTTATTTGTTAAAAACATTAGTTTACATGGCAAGAACGCGAGCAGAAAGCACACTTCAGGAAGCAGACAAAGAAGAACTCGCTGGAACAAGTGGTGGTACAGAACACGGGGCACCACCCAATTCATTGAATAGGTAAGTGGCCAGTGTTTATGTATGGTCATGGCAGGTTAGATTTGTCATCACTATAATGCATTACAATGTTGATTATTCACGAGCCAGATGGGAAGGAAAAGAAGTAATAAAAGGAATGATTGTTTAGGTCGAGAGGAAGAAATGGTTACAGCGGGAACAAGCGAGGTCGCATAATCAGTCCCACCATTGAATCCATGGATGAAATTCAGGTAAGATTATTGAATTTGAGGAAACAATAATGCTACTAAATAGCACAAATAACTTTGAAATTTTGAATGTGGATATGAAAGATTATCAACGCATGGTTTCAGCAAAGGGTGTTAAGTTGACAGAGGTATGCTGTCCTAGCAAAGTAAACACTGCAATCATTGAACTGATGAGCTGCCTAAGGAAAAAATAGTGAAACAAGCAATTATTTTGTGTTTAGTTTAATGTGTCTTTTGACTTTGTTTATTCAATGCAGTACAATGACATTGCTCGGACAGCATATAATAAGTTGAGTGAGGAAGAATTGAAGAAGCGAAAGGAGGAGTATTTGAAAGAGAAAGAAGAGTACAAGAAAGAAATGGAACGTCTAGGAAAGCCGATAGTGCAAAAAGTACGAGTTCAGATTAAGGTAAATACACGTCATGATTCGTCAAACACTTAATGAAAATGTATATTTTTCTAATGCATATATCTAAAAAATGGTGTAGAATCCGAAGTACACTATCCGTTGCTCGCCAAAACAGATGTCAAGTTTAGTTTTACGAATCGATAAAACAAAGAAACAGCAGATTAGAGACATAGGGTTTGGAGGGTTGCTAGCCATACAGTATCACTGGATTCCTAGTGGCATAGCTACCTGGCTTGTCAATAACTTTAATCTGACATTGAGCAGTTTGAATGTATATGGAGATGGTGTGCTGCCTTTAACATCAAAGGATATTAGTTTAATCTTGGGGATCCCAAACGAAGGTCCCGTTCCAGTTGAAGACACTGATACAACCGAGGTTGGGAGAACCAGACCAACTCGCAGGACATACAAATGGAAAGAGCTGTCGAATGAGTTGGTAGCCATGAATGCAGGGGAAGAATTCATATGACTATTTGTTGCATTTGCTTGTGGATGTCTACTGGCTCCAAGCACTAGAGTCAAGCACAAAATAAAGCTTTGAACCTGTATGCAATTGGTTGATAGGGTGGCTACATTGAACTAGGTTGAGTATGTTAAGATCGTACTATGCAATAAGGTGCTAAAGATGCAAAAGAAAAGTAAAAAGCAGCACCAATACATTGGCAGTTGCATCTTCGTTCTGCTGGTAAGATTAGGTAGTTGTAGTCATGATTGAAGCATGCTTTAATGGTTAGATAATGCACCATAAATTAATCACTTTTGAGTGTATGTAAACTACTGTATGCATTTCCATGTTCTGTTGAATTCAATGTGACAGATTGATTAGATTGTGCTCAAATGAATGTGTCTACAATGATGTTCATGGAGGGTCAAGTTTATCTGTAGTTGAATTAATTGCTTTATTGTATTGCAGATTCATTATCTTGACCAGGTGCAAATACTGAAGCATAAAGTGCCAAGGACTACTCCACGAGCAAAGGCATTGACAGATGCTCTGATCTCAGAAAGGGATGCATTGGAGATTAAGAATCTTGGGATTTATGAAAAATGCAAGTTGGTAAAATGTTATTTATTGTTTATCTCATTTCATATAAAAAGTATTGGTGTATGTATTACGTGACTTTGCTATTGAAATGGTTGTTTAATTTGATGTTAAAGGTTGGACGACATGATCCGGAAGAGAATGAATCAGGGGGTGCGTGGCATACTAAACTACCCTCTGATTTGGTAGGGATGATGATAAACAGCGGGCATACCGATATCTGTGTAAGTGGGCCTATTCCATGATTAACAAAATTTATTGTTTGGTTTGACGTAATTACTGCATATTTTGTCAACATTATGGGTCATTGATAGGCCTATCAGTTTGTAACTACATACAATTATATGTTAATATATGAAACCAATCCCAATATTACATTGAATAAATAAGTTATCTTGAATTAAGTCACATGTGTGTAACTACATAAATGTAGTGATC